CTCCCATACTGTTCTAAGTGGGTAGAAGAAAGTTGGGGCTGTTCAGCCTGGATGAGAAAAGCTGAGACCTCAGAGCAGTCTTCCGGTATCTGAAGGGGGCTACAAGGATCCTGGAGAGGGGCTCTTCATAAGGGACCATAGCAACAGGACAAGGAGTGATGGGTTCAAACTGAAACAAGGGGAGTTCAGGTTAGAGATAAGGAAGAAGTTCTTTACTGTGAGGGTGGTGAGGCGCTGGCACAGGTTGCTCAAAGAAGGGGTGAATGCTCCATCCCTGGCAGTGCTCAAGGCCAGGATGGACAGAGCCTTGGGTGACATGGTTTAGTGTGAGGCATCCCTGCTCATGGCAGGAGGATTAGATCTGGATGAGCTTAAGGTCCTTTCCAACCCAAACCAGTCTGTGATTCTAAGAGCAGACCATGTTAATCTAAGACATCTTCTCTTACAGAGTTAAAGCACTGAACTCCCTTTCCCTCTGTGAAACACAGGAAGAGTGGGGTGACAGCAGTGCAGAAGAGGGTGTACAAGCTGTCAAAGTTGTACTTCCCTAGAAGTCAGGGAGGTTTGGCTGTTCCTCTGTACTCTTTCTATATCCATTACAACACACCACTGAGTATGTACGAGTACATGACGATCCTGCCAAAGTGAGTAACTTCAAGACAAGGGAAAACTAAGTGTACAAAATCCCATGTAAATGCAGCCAGTGAGAGAATCGCTGCTGAAAAACAAAGTTTGACTTTTCAGATAGCAAATACTACACTTCAGGAAGCAAAGGAGAAAGTTTGGCTCACACATATGACAACATCAATTATCTTTTCATCAAATGACTATCTCATCTTTAAGCTACTTTAAGCCTACACAGCTAACTGAAACAATATACAATCTTTCTCTTCCTTAGGAAAATACACTGGCCACAACAGCAACACACAGGAAAAAGTTAACACTGTTTTTTGTAGGTTGTAATGTTGCCAAATCCAATTCAAATCTAAGGAAAAATTCTCAGGCCAAACCAAAGAGAGCTGAAGCTGTACATTAAGTTCTCATTTCCACTTCTATGTGTGGCAGCTTACAATGAATTTCAACACAATCTGCTGTCTAAAATTAAGGCAAAGAAACTGGGCAGCTCTGTGATACCTGCAGAGCTGGCACAGTAAGAGCAGGTCTGGAACCATTCCTGAAAGAATACAAGAAACCTTTCTAACAGAAGAAAGATAGACCCTTGACAGGCACACAGGAGTTCTTGCTGCTACCGGTGTGTAAGCTAAGAGGATGCTGGTGAAGTTAAATTCCATAAGGCCACAGGATGCCATTTCTACTACCCCAAGTAAGGCATGAGCACACCCTTCATGGCACCACGTTTTAGGACTAGGGAGTCCTAAAGAGAATCAGCATCCACCCATCACATACCTTCAATATATGGGAGTTAAAAACAAGTACACATGCTGAAAAACGAGAGACTAAAAAGTTACAACAGCCTATTAACAATTCTAAAGAAGTAATTTCCAACTAAATGACAAGTGAGAAAATAACCTCAATTTCACTAGTTTGATAGAGGGCTCAAAATCATTTCTTGCGCTACAAAAAGGTTCTATTTTACATGCAAAGCTGTAACGCCCTTCACAAAGACACTCTTCTTCAGACAACTGCTGCTTCTACAATAAACCAAGACCTTGAGCAGCAGACAAAAATCAAATATCCTTTCATAGAATGAAAAGAGAATCTATAGCAGCCAAATTCAGAATCTGTAACTACATGAACACCAAGCAGCGCAAGTTATAGAAGTTTAGACAAGTGTTAATCAATGCTTTAAAGTGACAGGATTTTTATTACATTCCTTTGACATTTTTCTGCCTTTCTACAAAAATGTGTAACAAAACGTAGCAGTATCTAACTTCTTAATTAAAGAATATCATTTTCAGATTACTTTTCAGCGTCTTGAAGGCAAAACTAAAGCACATGTATGTAATGTTTCAGCTAATTCAACGCCAAGTCAAGAACTCAAAGAGTGTTTGGGAAAAGGGAGCAAGGAACATAGGTTTTCTAACCGCAAACCCAGTGATTCCAGGATGTCCCCGTTTGTATGAAATAAGCTCTTACTCCCAGTGTAACAACAGCATGTTAGAACAAAGTTTCCACGCTCAGCAGCAATCTTCTGAACTTAGTCAGTACAGCCTCCTAACTTGCTTTCTACTGTGTCCAGAAAAAAGAATGAAGATGAAAATAGCAAACCCTGCGGCAAATTGAGCGATTACACTGGCAGGAGGCCACCACCACAGGCACCCTCACAGCGGGGCTGGCTGCTGTGTCCAGTTTGGCAACAGGAGCTGGAAGAGCAAAGTAGCTTCTATGCAGCAGCAACGTGCAGAGAAGCAAGCGGCGGCAAGATCGAAGTTGGAGGAGATATGAATGGAGCATTTACACGGTGTTGAGGATGTGCTGACAGACATGTAGAGGCTGAGAACTTGTGCATTCATGGCAGCTGGAGCTCAGTGAATGGCTGTAAATCACACTTCTTGCTCTCTCCTCTGAGCAGGATTCCAGCACGCTTTGATTTTATAGGTATCAGATTCACATATGGAAGGGAACTTGCACTGGCAGCTCACAGGCACACGTAGCCTTACACAAGGGCACTAAGCATACTGCTGACAGTCCCTGTTTCCAGACTGGTTCACAATACAGGCCAGCTCTCTTAAAATACACTACTCAAATTTGGTGGAACAGGAAGCTGTCTGGACTGCTAGAAGCCACTGAGCTAAGGCTGTCTATGGATGATTTCACAGGAAGGAAACAGAAAGCCTCATGATGTAGAGAACAACTTGCAGCTCGAACCCCAGAACAGACACTGTCACTGCCCAGCTCTGCGCAGGGGGAAAGGGCTGAGCCACAGAGATAAACTAGGAAGTAAACAAGACGGAAGATGAGCTTGGCTGGAGGGAAGAGAATAATACCAGGAGGCTGAGACACACACCACTAACATGCAGTAATATAGGATTCCGTGTAAGTATAGTGGTTGTTCTATCAAGAGCCCGAGGTTAAGAGAGTTGTTCCAGTAAGAGGAAAATACCCTTACACATTGAACACGGGCCCCCGATGGTAAACAGCAGCAACCAACGCTGGTGGGTGTGTAAGATCATTCCAAGTGAAAGGGACAGTGGCAGGGTCAGGTACAGAGCAAATAAAAGCAGATAAAGAGACTCCCACACATCAACCCACTCTCAGCACATGCACTGGTGATATTTTCTGTTATTTGCCTCCTTATGAACAGTTTCAACACAGATGTACCGACAGGAGGGGAACATCACAGCCTCAGCAACAACGGCATAATCTGAGCACTGTGAGTACCTGCAAACTCAACGTATACCTGTACCTGAGCAAGAGAGCCTGGCTCTAAAAGCCACCAAATGATTACACCGATAGTGATACCCACTTATTAGTGCTGAAATGTGCACATGATGTTACACACGAGAGGAAAGTCTTGAACATTGTTCTGGATACACAGAGCTGCACAGACCTATCTTCCTGGTGTGTCTAAAGTCTTTGGGCACTGTAGAAAGAAAAGGAGGAAAGGAAAAACCAGAGGAGCTGCACTCTAAGAAGAAAGCAATAATCCTGATTGTCTGTCTTGATTCTTCAATCAGAGAAGAAGCCAACACCTAAGGTCTTAAGACAGGAATGCCCTTACAGTAGGAACATTTGTAACAAGCAGTAAAAGACATCTCAGTTACAGGTCCTGCATTTCACTACACTATTCTTTGATAGATTACCCCGCTAAGGTGAAAGATTTCATGCAAAACTGTTGAGAACAGTAATATAAAACAAAGTTCCACTTCGTTTGAAACTTTTCGAGAAGAAAACTAGGTATCAGTCACCCAAACACCATAGATCCTCCACAGGAATTCTCACCACAGTAACAGCCTAACACCGAATGGAACAAACACCTCACAAACTCTACAGTCTCCCTAAATAACGTTAGATGTCCCTGAATGAGCTGGTAACCTTTCTTCTTGTCCTCTGCTCACAGATTTTAGTACCCGACAGAGCCTGAAGACATCTAAGGAAGCTCATAACCTCTTCCAACCCTACCCGCCATCTGGATTACGGCTTTACCTCCACCTAAACGCGGTTTACCTACACCTAACCGCCACACACGGGCACAGCGCACTCGCTGGCGAACACAGCCACAGCGGCCTGAACTTGTGCGCGCCCTGAGACGCCTATCGCAGGCTGTCCCCGGAGGATGCCGCCGCTACGAGGATGTGCGAGGGAGGAAATGGAGACCCCGGTCCGCTCCGCGCTGCCAGCAGGAGGCTGAGCTGGCAGAACAGCGAGCGCTGGCCTGGGGCAGGCAGCACGTAGCGCACAGCCGAGGGGACACCCCGGGGACGGACCATGCGGGGCGGGGGGGGGAGCTCCGCCGTCTCCTCCCGGCCCAGCAGCGGCTCCCAGAGCCCCGTGAGGGAACCCCCCGGCGGGCAAAGGGCGCAGCCCCCCCCGCCTCGGCCCCCTCACAGCCCCGCTCGCCCTCAGGCCGGGGCCAGCCTCCCGCCGCGGCAGAGGGAGGGGAGAGGAGGGCAGGGGAAGGCGACCCTCCCCTAAAAGGGGCCTCCGGACACGCAGGCTCCGCTCACCGCCCTCCCGAGGTGGCGGCGGTGGCCTGACCCCTCCTTCCCCGGCGAGCGCGGCCGGCCGCGGCCTCAGCCAGGCCCGAGCACGGGGAGGGGACAAGGGGGGGATCTCTAAGGGTCCTTCTCCCCCCACACCGCCGGCCCTCGGCGCCTCGCTCGCTGGAGGGAAGGGGACAGAGGGGCAGAGGTGGCCGCTGAGGGGGCTCACGCCCGCGCTGACAGACGCCTCGTGCGCCAAGGGTCCCCGCTCCTCACACCACACACAAACGGCCGCCGAGCGCAAACCCCGCCGCCTCTCGAAAGGGAAGGAGCAAAGCGCTCGGGGAGAAGGGGGGGAAGCCCCGAGGAGGGAAGGGAAAGCGGCCGAAGCCTCACCGGGTCCGGCGGAGGTGGCTCCCGGGTACATGTCTCCGTGTGCGGCGGCGGAGGCGGCGCCTCTCTCCAGGTCCCTACCGCGGCGGCAGCTCGAGGGGAGGGAAAAGGGGGGCGAAGGAGGCGAGCCCGAGCCCCGGCTGCGCTGTCGGGGGAAGGGGGAGGAGAAGAAGGAAGGGGAGGGAAAGGGGAGGAAAAGAAAAGGGGAAAGGAGGGAAAAACAAAAAGAGCGAGCAGCGGGAGCAGGGCCGGCCCGGCGCCGCAGAACCAGGTTACTCGGCGGCACTGAGGAGCGGGCGGTGGGTGGGTGGGGACAAGGGAGGAGCCGCGGGGTCACGGGGCAGGGGGGCTCCGCCCGCCGCCGGCTTCACCGCCCTCCTGCCCGCGGGCCCCGCGCCGGCGGGAAGCGGAGCGGGCGGCCCGGGGAAGGGGCCCTGGCCTGCGGTTCGCCTGCTCCTGCCGCCCGGCAGCGGTTCCACGGACTGGATACGGCCCCAGCACTCGGGCACGTTGGGGTTTGCTCCTGCACCGCGCCAGTGTGGCTGACCAGACACCGGCCATGTGTAGCAGGAGCCTTTGTAGGCCCTGGAGTCACCCACCAGAGGGAACCATGGCTTCTTTTAACCAAGCCTCTGCCTTGGGCAGGTGCAACATCAAACTAAAAGTGTATGTTGCAGCCAGGACTGCCAGAGAAACCTTGCGAAACCACCGTGTGCCTCTAGCTCTCGCTACCTCTCCTTTAAGGCAGTTTGCCTAGCTATGCCTGCTTAAAAAGGATGCTGGAATGGGATCGGTTTTCCATGTACTGCTTGATCTTCAATGCCCTGTTTACTTGAGAATTAGATTTGGTTGTTTCATTTTGGACAGGGCCCTGGCTGACACGGTCTAGTGGGAGGTGTCCCTGCCCATGGCAGGGGGTTGGAACTGGGTGAGCTTTAAGGTACCATCCAACCCAAAGCATTCTATGTGTTCTCGTATTTCACCCTATGAGACAAAAGCAACGCTGCTGTGAAAACCTCGGATCAGTCACCGTGAGGATCTCACACCTCTACACCACATCCACTTTTCATTGTATCTATGAAACCCAGCTGTGGTGTGGTACCTTGCTGTTGTACAACCAGATAATCTCTGTCTGTATGTATATACAGGGTATACCAACTAGCCATAATGCTAAAGAGGTATTGATCAGTATAATGCACTGAGACACGGGAGATGTCAGAGGATGATTCCTGTGGGAACTGTCATCCTTTTATAATCTCCTCATTGGCACCTCTTCCTTTCAGGAGGAGAAATAGGAAAACAAAATCAAACCTGCTAAGGAGGCAAAGAGCAAGTTAATGATGGTCACTTCCACCAGAAGGTATTACCTACACAATTACAGGACAGCAGCTATGATCCAAACTTCCATTCACCTGCTCCATTTGGATGTGGAAGCCTTTAGAAACAAGTAACAAAGTTTTCTTATCCCAGAACAGTCAAACCCCTTCAAAGTCAACTAAATTCCTTCAGTAAATGTTATCTGCCAAAGGCTGAGGCAAACATGGCTTGTATAGTTCATTGATCAATTAATATCCTCCATCAGTACATATTTAGAATCACAGAATCATAGAATAGTTAGGGTTGGAAAGGACCTTAAGATCATTCAGTTCCAGCCCCCCTGCCATGGCCAGGGACACCTCACACTAAATCATATTACCCAAGGCTCTGTCCAGCCTGGCCTTGAACACCACCAGGGATGGAGCATTCACAACTTCCCTGGGCAACCCATTCCAGTGCCTCACCATCCTCACAGGAAGGAATTTCTTCCTTATATCCAATCTAAACTTCCCCTGCTTCAGTTTTAACCTGTTACCCCTTGTCCTATCACTACAGTCCCTAATGAGGAGTCCCTCCCCAGCATCCCTATAGGCCCCTTTCAGATACTGGAAGGCTGCTCTGAGGTCTCCACGCAGCCTTCTCTTCTCCAGGCTGAACAGCCCCAACTTCCTCAGCCTGTCTTCATACAGGAGGTGCTCCAGTCCCCTGATCATCCTCGTGGCCTCCTCTGGACTTGTTCCAACAGTTCCATGTCCTTTTTATGTTGAGGACACCAGAACTGCACACAATACTCCAGGTGAGGTCTCACAAGAGCAGAGTAGAGGGGCAGGATCACCTCCCTGGACCTGCTGGTCACGCTCCTTTTGATGCAGCCCAGGATACGGTTGGCTTTCTGAGCTGCGAGCGCACACTGAAGCCGGCTCATGTTCATTTTCTCATTGACCAACACCCCCAAGTCCTTCTCCGCAGGGCTGCTCTGAATCTCTTCTCTGCCCAACCTGTAGCTGTGCCTGGGATTGCTCCGACCCAGGTGTAGGAGGGATTTGAAGGGATATAGAGGCATCTCCCTGTTTCAGTTACATCAGTTTATGTTTACTCTTCCCTTTGGCTCACACTTGTAGATGTTCAAGGGTTGCTATTAACAGCTCAGCTTTCACTTCAAGTGAGTTGTTCCTGAAACCATTGTCACCACTAGAGTTTCCACTGGAGTGATTTTGGATTTGTCTGCATTCCAAGCTCCTCAAGTTGCTGGAAAGTAAAGACTTACCAGTAACTAGAAACAAATAAAGGACCAAATCATGGGTCAGCTTCAGTTCTAGAGTAAAGCCAAGCAGCTCTAGCAAAATTAGAAGCAAGGGAGCTGGCAATGGGATTGCTGTTTCCCTCGCTGTGAGGAGTTGGGCAACATTTTTGCTCAACCACCAACAGTTTCTGGTCTGTGCTCTGTAACTTACTGGAGGCTGAAAATGGGGGTGGAGAAATCCCCCCAAAAAAGCCAGAAGAGAGTTATCTGAGGGAAATTTGGCCTTTCTGCTATATTAGATATTAGTAAATGCTGAGGTGACAGGAAACCACGCAGTCCCTGAGTCAAAATCTGTTTTTTTTATATTACATTTAAATCAATCTTCTGATCTGATTAGGAAGATAACTCCCTCTAACATTCTGCATACTGTCCTGCCTGTTAGAGCCTGTACAAGAGAGAATGAATACACACTGTAGGGTTCTAGACAAATCCACTTGACACTTTGGTTACTGACTGGCAGCACTGAGCTAACCTCCATCAGATTGTGTTTGGAGGCGTGTGGAATGAGCTTAACACAGCCTTCCAGGGAAATGCCCATCTCTGACAAACCCCAAACTGTCCCACTGTGGGACATATAAACACAAATAATTCTGTCTCACCTTAGAATCACAGAATGGTTTGAGTTGGAAAGGACCTTGAGATCATCCAGTTCCAACCCCCCTGCCATGAGCAGGGACACCTCACACTAAACCATGTCACCCAAGGCTCTGTCCAACCTGGCCTTGAACACCGCCAGGGATGGAGCATTCACAACTTCCCTGGGCAACCCATTCCAGTGCCTCACCACCCTCACAGTAAAGAACTTCTTCCTTATATCCAATCTAAACTTCCCCTGTTTCAGTTTGAACCCATCACCCCTTGTCCTGTCACTACAGTCCCTGATGAAGAGTCTCTCCCCAGCATCCCTACAGGCCCCCTTCAGATACTGGAAGCTGCTCTGAGGTCTCCACTCAACCTTCTCTTCTCCAGGCTGAGCAGCCCCAACTTTCTCAGCCTGTCTTCATACAGGAGGTGCTCCAGTCCCCTGATCATCCTCATGGCCTCCTCTGGACTTGTTCCAACAGTTCCATGTCCTTTTTATGTTGAGGACACCAGAACTGCACACAATGCTCCAGGTGAGGTCTCACGAGAGCAGAGTAGAGGGGCAGGATTGACCTTTTTTATATCATTCTTGTGAAATCCTGTCCTGAAAGCAGGAATCAGTGAAGCTCACGTGCTGAAGGGATGCACCCACATGGAACTTCATCTGACACCTGACTTAGTTGCAGCAGAAAAGAACAAGAAGTGAATGATGGTACTCTGCTAGCAGTTTGACAATAACAAGCTAACAAGCAACAGAAGATAGGTGAAATATCGGGAGAGGTTTCCCAAAACCCTGAATGCATATCCCACATTTCATTCAGGCTCCACAGGATACTCTGCAATTGATTACAGAAACACTCTGCAAAACCAGAGATCCCAAACCCAGCAATTAATACCTGGAACATCCTAGAGTGCAATGCACTTGCATTGATTTAAATCTGATTTTTGTGGATTTAGAACTTCATAAGGGAAAGGGCTTATGATGGTTTATACGGGACTGCAGACATGTACAATCAGTTAAATACTGGGTTATTTAAGCCAGTTTTCTCCTGTAGAAGTCCTGCTGTGCCTCCAGGCTGTTTTCATGCTACCATACACTTCTAGCAGCATTTCTGTGTTACTGGGGAGAGTTCCAGCTCCTCCACCTCCCATCACACACTCACTTTGGGCCATGTCACTTGCTTTATTTCTAATGCTTTCTGTCACCGACAGTAGTAGTTTTGGAGCACAGTGAAACCTGATTATGTCTTAGTGGGCAATTCCACCCAAAAATGACCTCAGTTCTTGAAAAGGTTTGGGTTGTAAGAGCGGTTTGAAAGCTCTGTAGGAGCATTCTTTTATACATGCTATTTATATGTGATACTAACAATTATAGAGTGGGATAAGAACAACTGCTTAAACATTTAAATCAGGTTTCTTTAAAGGAAAAAAGAAAGAAGTGACTGTTGGACACAATACCCATCAGAAGTGCTGGATTTCAAGCCGATATTTCCCAGAACTGATATCTCTCAAAGAATGAATTACCAGTTTTGGAAAAACAGAGCATTTTCTAACCATTTTGGAAGCAAAGTTTAGTATTTAGGACCAGCTTTTAAAATAAGGTATACCAGCAATGGCAATCTGGGGTAAATATTTTATCTACAAATAGGCTAGTGACAAATGATACGTCTTTTCATGAGAAGAGATGCATTGATCTAAGGATCCTTCCCTTTGTAAACTAAATCAATCCCCCTAGTTTATAAATGGCTTTTAGTCATTGATAACAATGGTACAGTGGCAAAAAAATTGTACTCAGAGCAGAGCGAGCTATATTTTATTCTTAACTCAGAGGGGATTTAAGCTCACACTTCCCAGCTCTCAACTGGCCTGGCTTTTATGATGTTATCCCAGAGTGCCTGCATTAGACTTCTCACATATTCCGTGTTCTGCTTTGCATATAAAATCAGACCAGAAGTGAAGCAGACCGCGACTCTGTAATCTGATGTGTTCACATGGTTACAAAGACGTTGAGGGTTCTGGTGCCCTCCTCATGGACCGTTCATTATTTTACAATTACTGATTAAATCCAAATTAATGCCT